ATCGGAAGAACTCGTCACACAGCTAGGAAAAGTCTGAACTGAGATTAGGACCTGGTCTGGCTTCCAGGGGCTTCCCAGGTGGCGCTTATGTTTAAAGAGCCTGCTTGCCAATACAGGAGACCTAAGAGACATGGGTTCGACCTCTGGGTTGGGAAGATCCCCTGGAGGAGAGCATGGCCACCCACTCCAGTATTCTTGCCTGGAGAATCCCCTGGACAGAGGAACCTGGGGGGCTACAGTCCACAGGGTCACACAGAGTCAGATGTGGCTGAAGTGACTTAGCATGTCCACACACGCATGCGTCAGTGGTTAGGACTCCAGGCTTTCACTGCTGAGAGTGTGGGTCAATTCCTGGTCAGGCAGCTAAGATTCTGTAAGTCGTGGAGCATGGCCAAAAAAAAAAAAGAAGAAGCTATCAGAATTCTTTCTCTGGTCCTCCTTGCCCCCAGCCAAGAGGAAAGATTTTAAAAAAAAAAAGACCCACTGCTTTTCAGAAGCACCCCTCCCTGCTTTCTCCCCCAGCTGGAGATAAGGACACTTGTCAGAATGCTGGGGGTGTTCACTGCTGTTGGGAAGCTTCCAGCTCTCGTTCTAGTGTGGAAATTCATGAAGATTTCCTTTCAGCTCTGTCGAAGCAGAGTCTATCCAGCTTTCTCCTGTTTGGGTTTGTAGCAAGGGGGAAGGATAGGGGAGGGCGCAGGGTTGGAGATGAGTCCAGGATTTGAGATCCCAAGGACCAGTCTGGCGTGGCTGGCAAAATTCCGGGCACGCACGCACACACACGCACACCTCTTCCCCTGCAGCCAGACATGGTCAGGGAACCCGAGCACGTCGTCCGGGCCTTGCCACTCCCGTCTTTCAGACCCAGGACCACCTGCTTGGTTGGCCAGCCGCACTTCCTTGGCGGGGACACTTGGCTGTGTTCAGTGTTCTGCCCTGGACAGCGGGTGCAGTGAGTCTGCCCTGCACCCGGGTCCTCGGACTCCCCGTGAGGGTGGGAGTGAGACGGGGGCTGAAGGAGCCCCTTGGTGTGAGGAGGACATGGGGTGCCTTCTCCTTCTCCCGATGCCCACTAACTGCGCTCCCCGCAAGCATGGGAAGTGGCCTCTGTGTCTCTAGCTGCTTGGAACTTGCACCCCTCTTGAGGTCTCACTCCTCTGGAGTGAGAAGGGAAAATCATGAAGGACACGGCTGCTGCGTGTGGTTGGGGATCCTGGCTATTTCTGAAGGACAGCCTCTGGTCTCCAGGACCCAGTGGTCTTGCATTCCATGTGGCCAGGGGCCAGCACCCGGGAAGGCGTGGGGCTCTGAGTACTCCCCAGGCATCATGAGACCCTGGGGCCGGCCAAAGCCTGCGGGCTCCGCCGGATCTGAGATGGGGAGAGAGGATCTGTGGCACTGCTGTCTGGTTCCAGGGAGGAAACCAGAAGCTGGCTGGCAGCATCTGCTGCCGGTTCTAACTTGGGGTCCCTGCGGGAGGTTTGCTGCGGAGCTGGGACTTAACACCTAGTGGCGGGGAAGCTGCCAGTCCCGGGGGTGGGGGGGCGGTGGGGGGGTGCGGAGGCTGTGCAGGAAGGTTTCTTTTTTTGTCTCTCACACTCAGGGTATCACTTCCGTAGCCGGGCAGCAGATGGGCGGATGGGGGCGATGAGGAGTGTGAGGTGTGCAGGAAGAAGGCACATGCATTTCCAATAGTTGCGGGGGGCGGGGCGGGCAAAGATTCAATGTATTTGGGGATGGGGGTGGGAAATTTTGCTGCTTCAGAATGGTGCGGGAGAAGGCTGGGTCAGGAAACCCTAAGACAGGTTCATGTACTAGCGGAGATCCAGCGCTGGTACTAGACAGATTCAAATTCAAGTCCCTGATCTGCCACCAATTAGCAACGGCTAACATTTGCTGGTTTTTCTGCTAAGGGCTTTCTGTGTGCATAATCCGATTCATGTCTCACAAAATGGACGGGGTGGGTGCCAGTTTCATTCCCATTTGGCTTAGGTCTGGTGAGGCTCTGAGAGATGCTGGAACCCACCCAAGGCCACACCGCCGGTGACTCTAAACTTGAGACTCACATGGACAGGGGACTCTGACGTCCCATCTCAACCACTTTCTACACTTAGAGCAGTCATCTGCCACCTTCCGACCTCCTGGCTGTCTGGCCATGGGAACACCTAACTTTTCCCATTCTTAAGGTTCCTCATCTGGGTGATGGGGAGATAAATGTCATTCTCCCAGCTTTCTTTTTTTAATTTTTTATATTATATTGGAGTATAGCCAATTAACAATGTTGTGATAGTTTCAGGCACATAGCAGAGCAACTCAGCCATACACATCCCGGTGTCCACGCTCCCCCAGACTCCCCTCCCATCCCGGCTGCCACACACCATTGAGCAGAGTTTCCTGTGTATACAGTAGGACCTTGTTGTCCATTTTAAATAGCAGTGTGTAGTGTATCCCCTTAGGAACTATCTATAGATGTGCAAAATGTAAAATTAAGGCAGTGATTAGTAAATACTCTACCAGGACCCTGCCAGGCCTAGTTTCTCCTCAATCCTTTCTCTCCTATCCACCCCCTCCCCAAGGAGAACTAAACCAATTTCTCCATCTGCCTCAGCTATCTCCTAGCTTTCTTGTGAGGATTAAACCAGAGAATGTGTGTAAGCCATTCAGCCAGTCCCTGGCCTGTCACAGTGTCATCATTCATTCATTCAACAACTCTTTATCGAGCACGTGTCCTATGCCAGTTTCCATTCTAGGTGTACAGACAGACTAGAGGAGTGCTAGCTCTACCAAAGGGAGTAAGCAAATAAGTTAGAAAATCTCCAGCAGTGATATGCATTATGAAGAAAACAAAATCAAGTAGTGGCAGTGACTGTAGAAATATGAAGGTCCGCTTTAGCTGGGTGGTCCAGGAAGGCCTCTTTGAAGAAGCAGCCGTGGAGCTTAATTCCCAAAGGAAGGCGATGTGGAAGAGGATGGACCTTCTAGGTTAAGGGAGCGGTGGGCGCGAGGCCTGGAGTTGGGACAGGAAGGGGACCGTGTGGCTGGCTCAGCGTGAGGACTGGGTGAGTGGTGGTGGGGACTGGACAGAGGGCAGGGCCGTGGATGCTGAGGGGAGGTGAGGTACAGGACACAGTCTTTGGAGGGTCGAGTCGAGAGAGTAATGTGGTTTAATTCATTCATTTTGGCAGCTATGTGGGGAATGGAAAGTTGGGCAAAAAAGATGGTTGTGAGGAGACGGGGATCGCAGAGAGATGATGTAGACCCGGCCAAATCAAGAGCCTCACCTAGAAAGTGGAGAGAGATGCTTCCAATGTGGAAGTAGAAGCAATAAACATCCTAATGATGATAACTTGGGCAACCTAGCAGTCAATTTTGCAAAAGTCACATGCCTCAGACCTCACAGCTTGTTGAAAACAGAGTTTGGGCTGTATTCCTACCACTGTAGAAATATTACCACCATCATCTTGCCATGAGGCACCATCCACTGATGTTCATGTTTTTCTTTTGAGCATGGGAATTTATTTGGGGAGGTTATTAAAGATAACTGAAAGTCTGGAGTTTATGATGTCAAACTGGGTTCTGTGTAGAATAGGGTTAAATAAACTTTTTCTATAAAGGGGCAGGTAGTAAATAGTTAAATTTTTGTGGATTCTACTGTCTTGTCTTGCAGCTACTCAAGTCTGGAAACCAACCTTAAACAATGCACTAAAAATGTATGTGGCTCTGTTCTAATAAAACTTCATTTAAAATATAGGCAGTGAGCTGGATTTGGCCCATGGATCATAGTTTTCCAACTCTGGCAGAAAATATAGTTTATTTACGGGACCAAGATAATTTTTTTTCCTACAACACGAATTCAAGACATTTCCCCTAAACTCTTGTAAAACTAGGGTACAGGCCTCTGCTTATCTTAACACTAGAAGATGTGATATAATTGAATAAAGACTCTGTTCAGTAGTTTTCAAATCTTGGGGATTCCTTGGAACTAACTCAGGGGACCAAGGTGATAGTGAGGATGGAGGGCTTGGGGTCCCAGCCTCTACTTCAACCAGGAGCCCCTCTTGGATTCACTTTTAAAAATGAAATTGGTGGTCTTCATAAGAGTTTGGGGGGAAAAGTGGTCTTGGGAGCTAGAAAAAAAGTTGAAAATCTAATCCAGTCCGACTGGTTGGAGTTCATGTCCCACTTCTAGTATTTGCATTAGAGAGGTGCTTCCCTGGCGGCTCAGATGGTAAAGAATCTCCCTGCAATGCAGAAGACCCAGGTTCCATCCTTGGGTCAGAAAGAACCCCTGGAGAATGGAACGGCTACCCACTCCAGTATTCTGGCCTGGAGAATTCCATGGACAGAGGAGCCTGGTGGGCTACAGTCTATAGAGTCACAAAGAGTCAGACATAACTGAGCAAGTAATGCTTTCACTATTACATAATTGCTCATAGAACACATTAACACATACATTTTCTAATTGGATGGAGGCAGGTAAAGAGGGGTTGCTTTGGGATTATATGTGTGGAGCAGAGGGTGTGCAGGGGACACAGACCAAAGGGACTTACATAAATTTAGACGCTGAACAAAGGCCACAATGTCCCAGGTGGAGCTGCTGGAAGAGCCTACTTTCTGAGCCTTGTAAGGTGGCGGCAGCAGGCTGGTGTGTGGCAGTCTTAGAGAGGCAGAATGGGGGTGGCTTGGACTTCACATTCAGATACAGCTAGATTTTAAATCTCTGCTCTGTCACTTAATAGCTAGACAAATTATTTAATCTCTGATTATCCGTTTTTCCATCTGGAAAACTGGAATGATGCTATTTCCCTTCTCAAGCTGTTGGGTGAAATGAATTAATAATTCGCTGCCAGTTGCCGAGCATATCGCCAGGGGCTTGAGAAATAGAAATATCCTTCTCCATGCTGTTTTCAGGGGTGTGGGGTGAGATCAGAGGCTTTGAGACCTTTTACCATCTCTTTCCTGTTGACTCCAATTTCCATGCCTCAATCTTCTCTTCTCAGGATGTGGCCAGGTTCTACGTGTTCCAAAGGGTCAGATTTTGTTGGAGAGCTACCCCCTGAATGCTCACTGTGAATGGACCATCCATGCCAAACCTGGATTTATCATCCAACTCAGGTAAGGGGCTAGGGTCAGAATTATGGAACCTGAGTTTTAAGGAAGTGCAGTAACAAAACCAATGGTCCTGGATCCTGGTAATCAGGGTTAACCATCTATATTTTATTCTTGAAAGCAGAAAATGTATATTAGAGCCTTTCCATTTACCTCTTAGTGATTTTGTGGGATAAGGCCTGGGTAAGACTACCACCAATTAAATACTTGTTACTCACTGGCTAAAGACAGTGAGGCTCAGGTGACCATAACCCAAGGAAGACACCAGTGTGACAGAACACAGCCCTGAGAGCAATCTGCCCGCCCATAATCTTGACCAGGTCACCTAATCACTTAGTACTGGCTGGATTCTATGGAAGGGGAGGAAATAAGGTCTAACCTTCAAGGACTTTGTACTCTACACTGGGGTTTATGCTTGTCACAGCTTCCTTCATTGCTGTTCTCAGAAACCAACTACCACCTCCACAACCAGTAAACTGATTCTTTCATTTGTGCGGAAGATAAGCCCTTCATCTTACCGAGCTTTGGGGTCCACCCAAATGTTTAATTTATGTCATGGGCCCAGTTGTAACTAGAGATAAATAACACCAGTGCTTCCTCTTTTGTGAGAACTGTTCATGGCTGCATCCAGGAGCCTGGAACAGGAATTGGTGCACACGACAGGTCGATAGACCCTTCCTGCGTAAAACAAGTGGAGAGAACTGCTCCCTGCCTGCAGTGTTCTCCTCTCTCCTGGCAGACGCCTCTGCTCTTCCTCTTTAGAAAAGCAGAGTGGCCCACTCACCCCAGGACGTTTAGGGACATTGTCCCCCTAGCTCTTCCCTTTTCTAACTCGTGGAGATGTTGGCGGTGATAGAAATCTCTAATCTTCTAAAGCACAGGCTTCCAGTCGGTGTTTTCTGGGTGGATTGGTGCGCCCACTGGTTGCCATATGTCAGCCAACTCCTACATGGCATTCTGTCATGCAGGGGGGGCAACACTGTACCCCACATTGAGAGGGTCCAGAACTCAGGTCCCTTTCCCAACCCTCCTCATCAAAGCCACCCTTTAGTTCCTGGTCTTCTTGTTCCCTGAGGTCCTGGGGTTAGGATGAAGGTTCAGTAAATGAACTTTCCCAGAGGAAGTTCAAGGAGCAAGTGAGAGGCTACACCATTCTGCTGAATGGGCTCCAGGCTGGATCTTCCAGTGTGATAAGGACAGTGTTAGATGCCACAGGCTAATTTTTCAGCAACTCAGCGGCCAGGACAAATGGTCCCCTCAGAGACCACTGAAGAGCTTCTTCAAGACCCAGGAGGAAAAGAAATCAGCTCCCCCTCCCCAGCTCCACCAACCAGAAATCCAAAATGTTGGAGGGGTTGAGAAGCACATCCCCTACCCAGGAAAGGGTCCTAGGAAGGCACAGAAATATATAGGTTTCTTCCCTGCAAACCTGGACCTGCTGGCCAGGGATAATTATAAGGATAAAAATACTCTGCAGCCTAGTGTTTGGCCCCAAAGCTGGTCATCATCCCTGGTGTTCCCTTTTCCATCACCTTCCACAGCCAGGTCACCACAGAATCTATTTACTCAGCTGTAAAATAATCTCAAGTCTATCCACTGTCTCTACTGCGAAAATTCTACTTTGAACTGCCACCATCTCTTACCTGGATTCTCTCGTGGCCTAATTGGCTTCCCTGCCTCCACTCTTGCTGGCTCTGCCGTCTTCTCTCTTCAGAGTGACTGGAGTGATCCTTTAAAATCCTGTGTCAAATTATTATTCTGTTGGTGAAACCCTCCAGTGGTTTCTCTCAAGCTTGGAATAAAATCCAAGCTCCTCACCATACAGAACGTCTCCTGCTCTCCTCTCTGACCTTCGTTCATACCATTCTCCCAGGTGCGCATGGCCTGGCATGGCCTCCTTGCCTCCTTTCACTTCCTCAAAGATGCTCATGACTGCCTCGGGCCTTGGTACTTACAGATTCTCCTGCCTGGACCACTCTTCCCTGTGACCTGTGCATGGCTGGCTCCATTGCACCAGTTAAGCGTCTACCCAGATATGTCCTTGACCGTGTATGTAGAAAGTTCACCCTCCCAGTCACTCTCAGGGATCTTACCTGCTCTATTTTTCTTAGGACTTAGCACTCTCTGGAATTCCCTTGTTTTCTGGTTTCCTTGCTTGTTGTCTGTCCCCCAGATCAGAACTCATGAGGGCAGGCACTGTGTCTGCTAGGGACGCTACTGTGCTTTCAGCACCTGGAACAGCGTCTGTCACAGAGCGGACCTGCCGTAGCTGCGTTGAATGAGTGAATGCATGAGTGAAGGTCAATGCAGGTTGCAGTGTCTCATGTTTCACTTTCAGAAAAAACTGTGATCTCGGTTTGGTGGTGTCCTTGGCTCCCCCCTCCACATCCTCCCCCTTCTCAAATTAAGATACCAAAGCCCAGAGAAGCAAGTGATTGCTCAAGGCCGGCAGTGAGTTGGTGGTGACCAGACCCTTGCTACTATAGCATGTTGCACATATTATGATGAGTAGGACTTACACTGCCTTACAAAAGGTTTTGTGATAAAAATTTCTGAAAAATAAACACTAGTCATACTCAGTGATCATTTCTTTTTTTAAAATAATATCTTTAAGAGCATTTACAATAGTTCTCTAATTCTGGCACTTGAAGTTTTTACCCAAGGTGATAGAAGTGGCACTAGCCCGAACGTTTCAGGTGGCAGTTCTGAGTTCTTCTGCCTATTCCCACTTCTCCAGAATGTGAGGAAGAAGATACAGATGTACATTTTGTAACCCTGAATACTCAGGCATTCCCTTGGGAATCTTCTGACAAGTTATCTTTTCCTCTCTTGCCTTGGTGTATGTATGCCTCTTTTCTTACCTCTTAGAAATGGGAGCTTAGGGTTTTATCTTCTGCTTTTTTGATCTGCTGCACCCCACTATTTCCAAACCCAAGATCCCTTTGAAATAATCAAAGATATGTCTCTTTCGATTCTGAAATTTTGATATGATATACTTTTTCTACTCTTTGGGGCATGAGTTATTGTTACCAAGATGATAATTACCTTCTGATCCTTCCATCAGACAGAAGAGTATGCAGGGTTTTTTCCTTTACTTGGTCTTTAAGATAACATACACTCTCTCACTCTCCAGTTGTAAAATTGAAGTATCCGTTCTGTCACCTTCTCAATATTTGTTTGTTGTCTCCATGTGCCAGGCACTGCGTTAGGCATTAAGCAGAGTGATGGAATAAGGCAGATGTCACACCCTGCCCTCCAGGAATGTGCAGTCTAGGGAAGCAGACGGGCATGCGTGTGTGCACACACACACTCATGAGATCAAGGAGATAAATATGAGAAATTAAAATGTCTGTACACATTATGAAGAAAACAAGGGCTCTCCTTTAGAAAGAGTTGTTGGGGAAGCCTCTTTAAGGAGAGAATATTTTAGCTGAGCTCCGAGTTTAGGAAGGAACCAGCCGTGGAGGCTGGGAGTGAGAAGTGCCCCTGAATGAGGAGCTGGTGTGTGCAGAGATTCCCGGCATGGACTGTGGCGCCCCCTGCTCCTGGCACATATGTCCACACACCTGCACACAGTACATCTGCCTACACACAGGGAAGGAAATGCACCTGCTCTCAAGTCCTCCAGGACCATGGTTCTACCAGGTCAGGGCAATAGCTCCTCTCTTGCGGAGGCCTGCTGATCATCTGGCCTTGAACTTGCCCGGGGTTGGGGGATGAAGGACTGTTCGGGGCCTCACCTGTTTCCTGCTGTCACCCTCTCCTCCTTCAGGATTGTTATGTTGAGCCTGGAGTTTGATTACATGTGCCAGTATGACTACGTTGAGGTCCGCGACGGGGACAGCAGTGACAGCCAGATCATCAAGCGTTTCTGTGGCAACGAGCGGCCAGCTCCCATCCGAAGCACGGGCTCCTCACTCCACATCCTCTTCCACTCAGATGGCTCCAAGAACTTTGACGGCTTCCATGCCATCTTTGAGGAGATCACAGGTGAAGGCCAGAGAGAGAACGATTGATTTTATTTTATTTTAAAGTTTAGTTTTTGGCCATGCCCAGAGGCATACGGGATCTTAGCTCCCCGACCAGGGATTGAATCCATGCCCCCTGCAGTGGAAGCACAGATTCTTAACCACTAGACCTCCAGAGAAGTTCCCAAACGTCACTTTTTATGGCTGCACTTTAGATAAACATTCCTTTCTGTGTATCCCTCTCCTTCCTGCCCAGCTTTGTTAAAACCCCACCTGCTGGGTTCTCAGAAACAACCTGCACATTGAGAAGGCAGAAAGAAATGGCAAGGGGTATTTCAGAAATGCTCACCAGAACCAGAACTAGGAATTATTACTTCTCCTGCAAAGCTGCTGTAGCACAGATAGATCAGGTCACTTGTCTGTGGTGACACAGCTCTGGAGATGGAACTAGGAAATCTGCACAGTTTGGCTCTGGAGCTCCTATTAGGGGCTCTCATGGTTAAGAGAGTTAGCTTTGGTCCCTAGCAAATTAAACCATGTGGCTTGGACAAGTCCTACTGTTCTGGGCCTGAGTTTCCTAATTATTGAATAAGGGCGTAACCCTAGATCCTGCTCCGTTAAGGAGTCTCTGGGAGACAGAACAGGTGAAGAGCAGTGTCTGGTACAGAGGAAACCCTCAGTAGCTGCCCAGCTCAGGCATGCCCTGAGCTTCCTTTGTCATCTTTCAAATAACTGTTCAAAGTCTGACACTACCCGGGAAATGCCACTCACTTTATGAGGAACCCTGCGTCTGACTTCAGTTCCTGTCCTGTTCATATGAGGAAGTAGCATTTGGCCAAAATGAACAACGGGCTCAGTGCTAAGGAATCACCCCAGATCATTTTTACTCCTTGGAGGTGAGATTGCATCAGGTTTTACAAAATAAACTCCAGCTTGAAGTATTTATTTTTTGAAACAAATAACTGAATTTAGGAAATTGCAGTGGCCTTTTGACCTTTCAAGCTCCCTTATGGAAGGTCTGATACGGATGTCTCAGGAAGGGAGGTGGGTAGAAGTGGAATCAGTCTTTCTGTACCCTTGCCGGTTCAGCAAGACCAGCAGACACCCCGCCCTCTCCGCCTCGTCCCCCTGAGAACGTCCCTGCCCGAGCCTCCAGCAGTTGCTCCTATGAGCTGTGTGCTAGCTCCCTCCCAGGACGGGTGTCTCCTATGCAGACTTGCAGGGCCTGGGAGCTCTAGAGGCTCTGCTGCTGTGCTGTAGTCGGCCTGTGGCTCAGTCCTTGCCCCTCGGCGCCACCCTGCCAGCCGAGGCTGAGATCCATCTGGGGGTGCTCATGGCAGTTTGCAGTTGGGGGCAGCGGCAGCTCACCAGCTTGTGACCCTGTGACTGGGGGAAGGGTCAGAAGGGTCTCTTCCTCACTCTCCCCTGGAGAGCTCTGGTCTATGTGGTCAAATAGAGCTCTTCCTGTTCCTCAGGCACCTGGTGTGACCCACCTGCCCTCTTTATTCCCTGCCTAAAGCCACCTCCCAACTCCTGCACGTCATGTCCCATCCCCAGAGGCCCTGTCAGATTTCTCCTCCCCTGTTAAACCTTTTCCCTTGTTCTAATGGGCTGTGGCTTTGCCCTTTTCTGAATGTCTTCTAGCACTTTCTCTCTTTTCTGACACTTGCCCAATCACGCTTCAGGTTATAGTCACTGCCGACTCTTCTTCACAAAGCTTTGTCCTGGTGAACTGGCTCTCCTGTTCATCTTTGTATCTTACCAGCGCCTTCCACAGAGCCAGCGCTTGATTCAGGCTTGCTGCACTTGGCCCAGCCGTGTATTTCTACACCAGGGTAAATGAAGGTGGGGTTAGCGGGTAACTAGCAGACTAGTGTTTCCCAAAGTGTCCTCTGCAGAAAAATGGTCCCCAGGACACTCTGTGAAATGCAGTCTTTCAGATCAAATAAGCCTGTGAAAGGTAGAATGTTATGTGTATTCTTAGAAATTCACAATGCACATTAGAACGTGGAGTGTTCTGAGAAATTCTGCAGTGGGGAAACCTGGTGAATTATCATTTAACACCAGTAGCATTTCCCCACCATATCTGAGACCATTAACTTTCAACATCTCAATGGACTACTGTTTATAGAATGCTTGTTTGGAAGTTCTTGAATACCCTATCACCAGTGTCATGAAATTGTCTTCTGGTTCCTTTCCCCCGGTACCCCAGATGCTGAGCTTCCTTGCAAAGAAGATGATGTATTACCCAAGCCTGCTCTCTCCCCATAGGAGCCCCTATGGGAGGGGTGAAGCTTGCTTCTGCTTTAATTGTGTGGTGCACTTGTGTGTGTTGTCCTAGACCAGAGGTGTCTGGAGCATCTTCTGGGGCCTTGGAAAACCTCAAATAGCATCAGCAACATTTGATTCCTGAGTAGCTGTTTTAGGCAGTCTCGAAACAGTGGTAACATGATTTCAATAAAAGGAGTTTAAAAATGGCAGGCAGACTTTACAAGACAAGCGAGACGCTGTGGTCAGGACTCGGGGCTTGGATGAAGGGACTCACCGCACAGAGGCACTGAGAGAAATTGCCTTCTCTCTTACAGCGTGTTCCTCGTCCCCGTGTTTCCACGACGGCACTTGCCTCCTCGACAGCACCGGATCGTACAAGTGTGCCTGCCTGGCGGGCTACACCGGGAAGCACTGTGAAAACCGTGAGTTTGCCTGTGGAGTGGGCATGAAGGTGCCACGCGGGACTGGCATGGAGATGGTCTGGGGAGCTTGCTGGGGACGTTGTTCCCTGGTGTCTGCATGGCCTGTCCAAGATGATGGGTAACATGGACTCTCCCATTGAGTGGATCTCAAGAAGGCTGGGCTGCCTCTGAGTCAGCATGTCTGGAACCACCCAGGTTTGCCCTCATCTGCAAATACCACTTAGAAAGATCTTATCTTAGAAAGATACGCCTTCAGTGGCCTCAAATAGTATCCAGAGCTCAAACACTGAGAAAGGGTCAACAGTAGAAAGCTACCATCATACACTCTCCTGAGGCCCAGAGTCTGAACTCCCTTTCCATCCCATGGTCTGAATTTTGGAGTCATGCTCCAGGGCACCATTCATTGTGTTTCTGTACAATCTGAAGCCCTGCATTGAGGATGGGAAAGATGTAGGATAGCTATGAGCCCCAGATCCCCAGGGACAGTCCTAGTTTATGCATTTTTGTCTATGTCTAGTTATTAAAAGCATACTCTTTCATATTTGAGTGTCCTGAGTGAATGACAAAGTACAATCATCATCTTATGACAGTCTGACCAGTGTTACATGAATCATAGACAAAGCAACATTTTATTGAGGGACTACTATGCACTGAGGTCCATGGGAATGCAGAAGAAAGCATGTCTTGCTGTTCTCTGAAGGAGCTTATCCCAACTTGTGAGCTCAGCTCTGTATTTTTCTGGTAATTCTTGAGCAGGTCTGAGAGGCGATGGGGCTGCAGGGGTGGTATAACCCAGAGGAGTCATAGGGCAAAGAAGTCCGCCAGCCGTGGCAGTCCACATATTAGTCTCTAGGATGGTTCCCTTTCTGCCTTTGCCACTCGAGTGGCATATCCTGGCTGTCCCATTGGGTCACCCACACTCTCCGGTTCTTGCAGACAGAAGTCGAAAGCAGAACCATGGTAGTCTTACCAAACCAAACTTGGGTCCACTCGCCTCATGCACAGTAAAGGCAGTCTACTGACACTGGGTTGTGGTGAAGAAGTGTGAAGTTTATTATAAGCACCAGATGGGGAGTCCAGGACAGCTAGTGCTGAAAAAATCTCAAACTCCCTGAAGGGTTTCAGCAAAACATTTTTAAAAGACAGGTGAAAGAGGGAGGTTGCAGGGTATGAAATTAGCTTGCACATAATTCTCTGATTGGTTGATGGTGTGGTAACAGAGGGGTTAACATTATCAATCCTTAGGTGCCAGTAGCTCTGGGGACACATGCCCATGCTCATCAAGTTTCGTCCATTTGGTGGTGATTTTAGCATCTATAGAACAACTCAGGAAATGTGCATCAGATCCTATTATCTAGATAAACTCCAGAGAGGAGCTCCAGCCGAGGATATGGGAGAGGAGAACCCAAAGGGTCCTGCTCGGTTACAGTCATCCTCAGTAACCTGGGGTCAATCAAACAGTAGAAATAAGAGGACGCGAACTCAGATGACTTACTCCAAAGCAGGTAGGAGTTTCTCACTCATGTTTTTGAAAGGCAGAACATGACTCTTCTGTGCTATTAGACTCAAACTTTTGCCAGAGGAGAGAAACTAGAACATGTATCTGATATGGGAAATCCTTATCTGGTAATGGTATCTGATAATGCCATATCAGATACAAAACATGTATCTGATATGGCATTGCCCTTGGGAAGGGTACACGCAGGCCAGTGCATGTGGCAGCATCGGGCAGCACCCAGCCCGCTGGTGCAGCGCCCAGGACTGTGCCTTTGGTAGAGAGGAACTTAAACACTATGACCAGAAATCAACTATCAAGGGTCTTTGGTAATCAAGAGCCTGTCTATGTATGACAAGTTCCTAATGGAACTTTGAGACCTAAAACTTGTATCCCATGTGCAGCTGTCGCATGGATGAAATGAGCAGAACAGGAGGAGTCAACATTTGGGGAAAAGCAAAGGAGGGCAGCTAATGACCTAGGGAGGGTTCCCCCAAAGCAGATCCTGACATGGGAACATGTGTACAGATGACGTGTTAAGGACACGTCCCCCAGGAGAAGCCGGTAAGGGAGTGGGGAGGCTGGACCGGAAGGGAAGGAAGCCAAGCAAAGGCGTGATTTCGGGCAAAATCCCAGCCTGAGTGTTAACAGGCAGTGGAATCTGGAATGGAAAGTACATCTCAGAGTGTGTCCTGGCTTTAACGCAAGACAGCTGGGCTTTCACATCCCAACTGCGATTGCTGATTGGCTCCGGACTGCCTTGGGCAAGTAGGACAAGCTTAACTTTCTGTGCCTGTGCCAGCGTGGTTCCAATAACGCTTGAGCGGTGGATGAGTTGGTCGGTGCAGGCCATCGGAAGTAAGCAGAGTAGACTGCGGGGCAGGGGGGAAGGGGCCCCCACGGACAGAGCCTCAGCAGCCTCTGACGCTGTTGCTTCTAACTGGCATGCTCAGGTTACTTTGGGGTTATCCTATATATGAGAGACCTGGTTTGACGTTCGTGCGTTTTTCAGTTAATTTCATGAATTTTGCTTGCAAACAACGCAGACTGAAGCTAGTGTCGGTAGTGTGTCTGAGCGTACATTTCATTCTACTTAAAATACCTGTTGCTCTGGGTGTCACAGCTGACCTGTGTGATTATGCCAGATTCTTAGGAAATTATGTTCTGCTTTGTGGTTCTTGTCTCGTTCAGATTCTCTGTGAGGCATGCAAGGCAGAGAAAAGAAGTGTTGCTTTCCCTTTGTTTCAAGAATTCGTAGATAGAGTGAGTCTGGCCTCTTGACAATGGCAGATCATGAGTGCTACCGTTCAGATGCAGAGGGGGGACCAAAAAAGGAAGCCCTAAATTCTTGACAAAAGAACTTTACCATATTAGGACTTTGATTAACAAAGACAAAATTGGATAAAAGTAAAACATTACCAAATTAGTCAAAATACCTGTAAGAAGCTGAGTCAAATTGGGGAAGGGGAGTGGAGCAGGGGGAAGGAAATTGGCCCAAAAGTTTTGACTAAAGTGTTTATGAGTAGCTTTTGAGTGAAAAACGGACTTCTCGGCACTATTACTCTATCCAGAAAAAAAAAACCCAGAACAAAACAAATAAACATGATGAAAAAGAATGTAAACTATGTCATTATGAACTGATTCATAACTTGATTCATGAACTGTCTCAAATCGCTTTTCATCTCAAGTCACTTTGGGCTTCAAAACATCAGCATAGATGGACAAGAGAATTCTTTCTAGCTACTTTTCAGAACGTTGTTCAAGGACCATAATTCTCTTAGTACCCTGTAGTTGAGACTGAGGCAAGATATTGGTTGTGGATATCTGATAAGCCATTTGCTGGCATCAATGTGGTGGTGGTGAAATTTAATCCCTAAGTCATGTCTGATTCCTGCGACACCATGGACTGTAACCCACCAGGCTTCTCTCTCTGTGGGATTTCCCAGGCAAGAGTACTGGAGTGGGCAGTCATTTCCTTCTCCGGGGGATCTTCCTGACCTAGGGATCAAACCCATGTCTCCTGCAGTGCACTGATTTTTTTTTTTTTAACCACTGAGCCACCAGGGAAGCCTTGGGGGACCAAATGTTTGATTATTTTCCATAAGATTTAGGCCTGTTTTTCCATCTTAGGAAATTCACCATGAATTCCAACTAACTCAGGGAGGGAATCATCACAATTGTCTACGGCAGTTTGCCTTGTAATTTCTAAACAAACTTTAACCATTTTTCCAGAAAAAACAAACAAACAAAAAAAAACTATCACAGGTATATAAAAAAGCTGAAAATACCTCCCTGGGGGAAATTCTTTCAAAATTAATATGAAACTGAAGCATTCTAGAATACTCTAAATTCTAAAATGCCCAAATTGGACTAGGCATATGTTTCTTAAAAATGACTTTTAAAGCAACACAACAAATATTAATGAGAATTCCATCTTTTGTTAATGTAGCACCAAATCTGATGAGGGGAAATTATTTCATGGATGATGCTTTAATGTGCTGCTCTCCTAGAGGTTTTGTGGGAGGGTAGATGATCCTTTAAGCAAATGAAGGATTTGAAGTACAGGGTTCAAGACATTAAATTGGTTAAATTCAAGACCAGAGGCCAGAATTCCACTCTTCCCACCTTGTTTAGGATCTCTCAGACACCATTCTCACCGCCTGGCTTGGTGAGACTGCAGGTGATGGACTGATGAGCTCTGGTTAGCATCCTGTCTCATTATCAAGTCCTCTCAGAGGACTTCCCTTCCCAGGTAAGACCCACCTGTCTCTCTTCTTTAGAAAGTCCTGATTAACTGTCTCTTGATATGAATTATTCTCTTTATTTTCTTTGTATCTATCTATGTCTGTGAGTGGGAATAGAATAGTAGATTTTCTACTTAATTACAGAAGAAATATAGACTTGTAAAAATAATCAACCAGTACAGAGGTGTGTAAAATAAAAAGAATATTATTTTCCCTGACTAATCCTGGTTCCTAGGGTTAGCAACTTGATGAGGATCCCTCTAAACTTTTTTCTAAGGCGTGCAAACCTAGGTTGTCTATGTGTCATTACTTTAAACCAATGGTTCTCCTCTGGGGGTGATTTTGTTTCCTGCTCCCACCCCAGGGGACTTTTGGAAACTGGAAACTTTGTTGGTGTTGTAATAGCAGGAGAGGGGAGGGTGCATTGGCATTTGGTGGGTAGAGGCCAGGGATGCTGCAAAACACCCTAAGATTCACAGGGCAGCCCCACAACAAAGAGCTGTCTGGCCCACAGGTCGGTAGTGCCAAGACTGAGAAACCCAGTTTTAAGCAAAAGTGAATTTAAAGCATACATACAAGTTTTCAACTTTTTGCTTTCAGTGTTCATATCATAGACATTTTCCCAGGTCAATCCACGTTGGTCTCCCTCTTGGGAGAAAAAACGATTGTTGGAGGACTCCATTGTATGAATGTCTATCCAATCGAATAATCATTCCATCGCTTAAGATGGGCTTAATGTCATTTTTAATATTCTTACTATT